TGAAGAGTCATATGCAGAGAGTTGGACAGAATCACAGCACAGTAGGTGAGAATGTTGTCTTCTGGGAGGCAGATGGGCTAAGATTTTTTTTTCTCAGAGTTGTCTGCATACACACACTCCTCGTCTGTGCACATATTGTATCAGCTCTGGTAATCATGGGCCGTTTGAATGAATCCTGCCTGCAGGTTTTCTTTGCTGCGTGAGGAGAAGCTCACAAGCCGGGCATAGACAAAATTAGTCAACTCAAAGTACGGCATCTACAGCGCCTTTCAGAACGATACTCAAGGTAACGGTGAACAAAAGACACAATAGGTTTATTTGTTTGAACGCGAGGAATATAACCTTGCAGCAAGGTAAAATATTCAAAGAAAAATGTTCTTATGAGAGAGAACATTTTTCTCAGAAAGCAAAAACCCTGCAATTAGGACTTTGCGCACACTCCCTTTGAGCGCGGAGTCTTTTATAATGCCGGATGAGATGGGACATAGAAAAGCATTTTAAGACTCCATGGTCTTCACTTATTGATCATACTCCCCAGCTCAAATTTTCAGTGGTGTTTCTATGTAGGACTACAGGAATAAGCTTGTCTGAAGAAAACAATCCCTCTGCACAGATCTACCACCAAAACTATGGCGCAAATTCACTGCGCATTTGTGACACTTCTGTGTGCAATGCAGAGATCTGGGGTATATGGAATTTCATATCATATTTTGTCTCGTTCCCGCCTGCCACTTTCATGTTTTGTTCCACTGCCATGTACAAAAGCCTACAAGAAGAGGTCTTTGTGGATTTTAAAGTCCTTTTTCCATACGATTCTGCCTCACTTCGGTGCCATGGGTTGTTTTTTCCAATTACCCCTCACACACAACACTTTACCTGCTTGCATTTGTTGAAGATGTTTTCAGTCACACTTTATTTTAAGGTCCAATTCTTGCCATTAACAAACCATTAATTACGACTTTTGTCTCAATAAACTCTTAATTTGCTGCTTATTAGTAGTTAGTAAGATGGTTGTGAAGTTTAGGTATTGGGTAGGATTAGGGATGTAGAATATGCTCATGCAAAATATGTGCTTCATGAGTACTAATAAACAGCTAATATGTTAATAATATACAGGCTAATAAGCAACTACTTACACTCTTAAAAATAAAGGTGCTTCAAAACATTCTTCAAGCGATGCCATATAAGAACCATTTTTGGTTCCACAAAGAACCATTCAGTCAAAGGTTCTTTAAAGAACCATCTCTTTCTTAGCTCTTTATAATCTGAAAAACCTTCTTTCACCACAAAGAAACTTTTGTGAAACAGAAAGGTTCTCCAGATGTTAAAGGTTCTTTATGGAACCATTTAGACAAAAAGGTTCTTCTATGGCATCGTGAAGCACCTTTATTTTTAAGAGTGTAATAGTGAGAATTACGTGTTACTGTGTTTTTCGCGTACAAATAAACATTAAGAATATCAATGCACCTATAAAACATTTTTTGTTGCTCATTAGACAAATAGACAAAGGACATTCTGCACTTAACATACATTTTTTTTTTAGATGTTTATATTATACAGGAGTCGCACAAATTATTTTTCCCTTGCTTCCCACACACACATCAATAGGTTACTGTTCGTAACCCCGTTTCTCTGAAGCATCGAGTGGAGAGATCCCGTCCCACAGGTGGATCTCAAACACAAGATGATGAAAGAGAACAATATCTTCAAACATCTCAAAACTCCAAAATCAAAACCAGAGGATCCTATGTTAGTCCCAGACCTGCAAAAACCTACACTGTAAAAAAAATTCCGTAAAATTTACGGTAAAAAAACGGCAGCTGTGGTTGCCGGAATTTTATCGTAAAAAATACGGTAGCAACGTTTTAGGTTTTACGGTTTTAACTTAAATTTACAGTTAAATACCGTAATTTCATTAACTGATATAATGTTAATATACCAACCTATTGAAGTACTAAAATCTGTTTTGTACCTTTGTAATACACTGATAACCACCAAATGCAGGTGGTGATGAGAAAGTCACATGATAAACCAAAGTCCAACACAAGCAGCTTTTAAATAATAACACGTATAGAAGGTGCACTTTTACAATCTTTTACCGTTAAATTCACGGTCATTTTTTACAGTGTACGTTTTACTGACCAAACACTCGCAATCCACTTCATCCAGGAACAATCTGATGATCAAATGATTAAGTGTGGTATGATCAGACATATATTGAGATGTGGCATCTAGTCAAATGCACTTTCAGCAGTCGAGCCAATCGATTCAGGTGTGTCTGTTTTGCAGTGATGAAGCAATGCAGTACAGTTCCAGTAAAGCAAGCCAGGTCACGGTAATCATGGTCTACAAGACAAGGAGTGTGTTGGTATTCAGAATCAGAATGGTATTTCATCTACAAAATATATGATTAGAATCGATATGGTTCTGTAAAGAGCAATGCCGAAGCATAACTTACAACAAGTAATCCCCAAAAGATTGCACATTTCAGTTCAGTAAAGCTCTGTGTTCACAAAAACAAATGAACGGAGGGACTGTGAGTAGGATCCTCCATAAAACAGGATGTACGTCCAGAGAGGCCCAAACAGCAGGGAGCTGGTGAGTCACCGTTTGATTGGTAAAGCTGTTACCCACTCATAGAATATTACGGCACTGTTGTAGCAGCAGATTGAGACGTCTCTGGCTGTGCTTGTCGGGTTGGTGTGGGGGCAGGATTTTTTTTGTTTAGGGCTGGAGAACTTTCCAGAGAGCTTCTGATTTTATTTATACCTGTGGTTTTATTATGCCTCTTTCTTTTGGTCACAACCCAAGTAGACTTTTGGAGAGTCCTATAAATCGTGCCACTTTTGTGTGTGTGATATTTCAGTGCAAAACCCCTAGTCTTATTGACTAACCACCTCTAATTCATTTTAACCAGGCACAGTATAAAGCTTAAATAATGGAAAGGAGTGTTATAAGAGTATGCAAGTGCACTTACAGCCTTTTAATTTGGCGTCGGACGGGATTTGTCACGCCACCAGTCTACAAGATGGGGAATCGAGCCATGCAAATGGTGCAGTCGGTAGAACTCATCTGGCACAGGTTCCTGCGAGCTGCTGACGGGTTTTTAGAATCACACAATTTATGCTCTGAAAGGTTACAGGCATGCTTTCTAAATGGCAGAATCTGCTACTGTTAACCAGTCATTTAAAATAACCTTTCATTGAGACAAATGTGGTTGACTTGGAGATTACAGTGCTTTAAGTAATGCCCATTTGTAGCATCCTTGTCTCAGTAGGCATCTGGTGCTCAGCGGGGTCATTTTGTGTTCTATAATAGTGGCCCAACCTGGTTTGTTTGTGAAGACGTCATTGTATTGGCTAATCTGCCAATACCCGAAGGACACCCTTGCAGCAACGGTAGGGAGATAATGACTCAGCAGCACAGTAGCGTCCCTGACAAGATTCCAAAACCTTGCAGTTTTACATTTAGATATCCAGAAAAAGACTCACAGTCGTCACCAAGGTGAAATTCATATGTATGTTGAGCTTCAGTCAAATGATCTTGCAATATATCAGTCTGCCTGCTTCTCGCTAAAGCCAGACCCTTGAGGCCATGCACCAAATGCAGGTTTTGATACAGTGGTTAAAGGAGGAGAGCAGAACTAATCGCTGTGGTTCTCCCTTGATAAAACCATCATGTCTCCTGCAGTGGCTTAGGTGATCAGAAAAACATCTGCTGAAACAAATAAGAAAATAAGGATGAGTTTTGGAATACTTGTCAACTGACAATCTCTGAAACCAGGAAAAAAGTTTCCTCTGGTGGGTTGAGGTTTCTTCAGTAGCTAATGTTAGCTTTGCTAAACAAGTTTTTATCACATTATGTGGGAACTTTGACTCATTTATTTGCTTAAAATGTTGTGACAAACAACAATTATACTCTGTGCCGTAGTCTTGACAAGTGAGATTCGTGTTATTGTCCATGGCTTGTTTCCAGCGTTGGATCTGTGTGTAGGCTGAAGAAACAAATTTAGGGCTGATGATGGGGTGGGTGTTGGGGGAGGTGCTCATCACCACAGTACTACTGGATGAAGATATAAAACTATAGGAAATAGAGTGCAACAGTCAGGTTCCAGGTCAGGTAAAAATCTCATTTGTTTGCTGTATTTCGACACTTTTTTAAATGATCGAGTTTAACGGCAGACTTATTTGTGAAAAACTACACCACACATTATCTCCACCATTCATGAACCGTGAATAATGGGAGTAAATCATGCCAAAAGAATGAAGCATGAAGCACTAAAAAGAAGTATAGCCAGTTTCCCAACCATCTTCGATATTTGCGTAACATGCATATATTGTAATAGAAGTAAAATATATTATTTCTAAGTATATAATCAACAGTTTTATGTGTTTCTGACCTTGTAAATTTGATTATATATCAATGATTCATGATATTGTAGTTCTTTTCCTTGAAAGATAAAAACACAGTCTTGTACCTTTGTATTTTAGTCTGATATAGACTTGTATTTAATTAAAATAATCAGCCTAGGAGCAAGGATTTAAAAAATACGTTTTTGGTATTCATTAGGTGGATCACTATATTAGGGGCTATATTTATGTATCTTTGGCATAGACTAATAAGTGCTAATGTAATGTACTACTCTCTACTACATACTACACAAGGATAAATGCTGTGTGCAGTGCTTATGAAAAGTAGCCATTTTTTCCAATTTTGTCTAAAAATGTCCTAACTTTTGCCAGTCCAATAAAACAATAATTCATATAGCCTAATAAAATACTTCTAGAGATGAACCATTGGAATCTAGACGAACTGGCGATTTGCCTAACCACCTCCCAACACATACATTCCACTTTAGAGTAATTTTCATTTTTGACATTAAAGATGCTCGTGTATGTGGGTGGTCATGTGACACGGGACGCGGCATACAGTATATGATGCGCACTGAGGAGAAGAGCGTCTCGTTCCCTACAAAGCTGCAAAGCCAGAGACAGCGCGTCTGGACTCGCACTCAGTCGCGCGGCTGCGGTGGAGCGAGAGCATCTCATCTGTTCATCCAGAGAGCAACACCTGCGCCAACTATGTGAAGGTAAAGCTGCATTTCTCAACCTGATGCATTTCATCTTTTATGAAACTAAACTGCATTTATAACGCTTTAGGTGAACTCTGCGACACTGCTTATTTCAGCACAAACAGAAAAGTTAGTTGTTTTAATCTACAATGCGTCTCGCAGGGACACTATGTTCAAGCGCAAGCCTATTAAATACCGTAATGTTACAGTAAATGAATCGTGGAGTTCTCCGTGACTCCGTGATACACGCTGAAAAAAAACGGAATTAAACTTAACTTGAAATTCTTTTGTGATCTGATGCCGAATAATGATTCAAAACACATTGATAAGAGCACACAGGTGATAGTGTGCATTAAAGTTGAATAGGCTATTTGCACTTTATAGCCTAGACACAGTCGCACACACAAACTAGACTGTCCTAAATGTTATTAGTTTATAATATATTCGAATTTCTAGCTATATTTCATACATTTAGCTAATATTTCATTTCAGGCTTTAGTTATATATTTACATTTAGTCATTTAGCAGATGCTTTTATCCAAAGCGACTTACAAATGAGGACAATGGAATCAATCAAAATGAACAAAAGAGCAATGATACGCAAGTGCTATGACAAGTCTCAGTTTGCCTAACACAGTACACGTAGCAATATATATATATATATATATATATGAGATTAAAAAAAGACACAGTGTAAAGTTGTGTCTAAGTTGCCTGCTGCTTTATAACTGTATGTATGGTGTTTTAGGTTGAGTCTGCAGACATCAATTATTCAAAGCCCGTCTCTTAATAATCCCTAGGTGCCCATCCATGCAAGAAAAACAACAAGTGCAAAATACAAGAGCCGTATGATGGCTCGTCTGAGAGGGCATTCATTTCTGTGCTCAGTGAAGCATCGATCGAGCTTTTGAGAGCTCAGTATTCTCTGTAATCTTGGAACGATGAGGATCCATGCGTCTTATTTGAACAAACGTTCTCTCAATGTCATCCAACAGGTTTCCTTCAGCGCATCTCTGACCATGCTGTTCCCTGCCTCCAAGTCCGATGTTAGATCTGTTCTGGACGGAGTGGCAGAAACCACGTTCAGAACCATCACTTCTGGACTGCAGTACATTGGTAATAACAATGTCGGCTACGGAGACCACATCATCGACGGCGACTTCGGCAAAGGCGGAGGATACCCACTGCCGAAGCCGTTCGCAGCCTACCGCAGAAGCTCCTTCGCTGATAAAGTGGGCCCGGATGAGGAACTCATCATAAAAGGTATCCCCTTTTACCCCACGAACAGCTCCGATGTGTTTGGGAACTTCAGCCTCGGAGATGAAGGGAGCAGTCTGCAGTGCGGGGAGAACTTTATGGACATGGAATGCTTCATGATACTGACTCCTAGCCAACAGCTCGCCATAGCCGTGTTGTCTCTCACGCTGGGGACTTTTACAGTACTGGAGAACCTGGTGGTGCTGTGCGTGATACTGCAGTCACGTACCCTGCGCTGCAGGCCCTCCTACCATTTCATAGGCAGCTTGGCCATCGCAGACCTGCTAGGCAGCGTCATCTTTGTCTACAGCTTCTTGGACTTTCACGTCTTTCACCGCAAAGACAGTCCGAACGTGTTTCTGTTCAAGTTAGGGGGCGTGACGGCCTCGTTCACCGCGTCTGTGGGAAGCCTGTTCCTCACCGCCATCGATCGATACGTTTCTATCCACCGTCCGCTGGCGTACAGGCGCATTGTGACGCGCACCAAAGCCGTGATCGCCTTCTGCATGATGTGGGCGATCTCCATTATCATCGCCGTGCTGCCGCTGCTGGGCTGGAACTGCAAGCAGCTCAACTCGGTCTGCTCTGACATCTTTCCGCTCATCGACGAGAACTACCTGATGTTCTGGATCGGCGTGACCAGCGTTCTGGTCATCTTCATTATCTACGCTTACATGTACATCCTCTGGAAGGCCCACCACCACGCGGTGAGGATGCTGCGGCGCACGTCTCAGAAGAGCCTGGTGGTCCACTCCTCCGACGGCACCAAGGTCCAGACCGCCAGACCGGATCAGGTTCGCATGGACATCCGCTTGGCCAAAACGCTGGTTCTGATCCTGGCGGTGTTGGTGATCTGCTGGGGGCCTCTGCTGGCCATCATGGTGTATGATCTGTTCTGGCGGATGGACGACAACATTAAGACAGTGTTTGCGTTCTGCACTATGCTCTGCCTGCTCAACTCCACCGTTAACCCGATAATCTACGCTCTCAGGAGTAAAGACCTGCGGAGGGCCTTCCTCGCCACCTGCCAGGGCTGCAGGAGCACCTCCAGCACGACCCTGCAGCTGGACAACAGCCTGGAGTCAGATTGTCAGAGGAACCAGCACATCGCCGCCAAGCGTGCAGCCGAGAGCTGCGTCAAGACCACTGTGAAAATAGCCAAATTGACAATGTCCGTCTCAGCGGAGACATCGGCCGAAGCCGTTTGATTGTACCGCCGGCCGGGTGACGTTCGGATGCACCTCGTCTCAAAAGAATGTCACGGAAAGTTACATGCATAAAGTTCAAAACACAAAGCTGCTTAAGTTACCACTGGTTTGATGAAGTGTTCACTATGACATTTCATCGCTTAAGTGCCAAATTAGATTTTTTTTTTTCCTCTCAGAAAAGGTTCTCACCCAGTGAATGAATATGTTGGGGCTTTTTTGTTGTTGTTTGCCCTTATATTTAATTGTAACGTGTGGATGTTGTGCGTGCTTTATGAAAGTTTACTATATTTTTATACTTTGAATTTTTGTTTTTTGAACAATGATATCTTCTCACATGGGAATAAGGGGCTAATGATCTTTTTAATAAAACCGTGTAAGTATGAATTCAAATACATATATACACACATTGGTATCTATGTAAATATGTGTAAAACTCTGTGGAGATTTAGTGTATCCAACATCATTGTGATAAACGACAAAAGATAAGAGTCTCTCTGTTTTTGAGATGTCTTGTTTTGCCAATGAAATAAATGTATTATAAGAGGAGCAAGTTCTGTCGCTCCTCAAGTACATGAATAATGAAAGCAGGAAAAGTAAGGACATTTGTTTGGTTCGCTTAACAAATGTATTGAATCTCGTTTACTAAGATATATTTGGTCCGTTACATGATGCTTTAGTGTTATTGTTGTGAGGATCAGAAAAAGACAGGACTATTTTCAACAATTTTTTTTTTTTTTTTTACAAGATGGCCTGTAATTGTGGTTTATCGTCACAGATAAATACAGTAACTGAAATAACTGTTGGATTTGAATCTGATTGTTCATTTTTATTTTGTCATCCTGCTGATGTATTTCTCTGAGATGTAAAGTCTAATTAATTTTACGATATGCACAGAGTCCAGAGAAAAATAAAAATGATACATTTTGTGAATAGAACATTTGTATTTAATCTTGTAGTTAATTAACAAATAATTAAAATGTACATATCATGATTGTTTAGTAATATTCCTTAAACCGTGAAATGGTGTGGTGGTGCTTTTTTGTTTGCACTGTTCAAAAGTATAGGTACATTCCTTACATGAAATGTATCTACTTAAGTATTGAAGCTTAAAAATCATAAAACGTCACAGTGGCTTTTGTCCCAAAGTAGTTCTTGAACGTCTGTCTCAAAATTATGTCTTAAAATACAGAAGCTGCTTGCACACTTATGTATCACAATTTAGTCCATTTTAATTTTTTTTATTATTTTAATTTTGTAATAAAGTCAGTACTGGCCTAAACTGTGTATTGGGATACTTTTATTTAAAACTGCAAATCATTGTGTCAAATCATTATGGAGTCATGTTGCACATATTGGTATTGTCTCTGGTTCCCTCTAGTGGATAGTTACAGTTTCATAGTTACAAGAGTAATTTTTTAGAACAGAAAGCAATAATTACCTTCAGAGGCAATTATTACCTTTGTGTGAAAAATTTAGTTCTTTTATCCCTTTTTATATCAAGGATAATGAAGAGTTATCATCACAAAATGATCCCGATGACTTGATCTGGATCTGACTTGAAACAGACTGCAGATCACCCCACTCTAACAGCATTAACAAAAAATGTAACAAAGAATTCAATTTTACAGCATGATTGTGTTGTTTTTCCAGAAAAAAAAAACATAATTCTAATCCATCTTCAATGGAATCTGAGAGCTACTGTATATAGTCTTCTGATGTAGCAAGCAAACACATGGCATATTTATCTGATAAAACCTCCGTCCATGTAACAGCAGGGTGCTGTTGGCTCCAGGGCCAGTGATTGTGCACAACGCACTTCATTTGAAAAAGTCGTAGCTTGATGTTTAATGCACTAGAACAACCAGCCGGCAGAACCCAATTTCTCTCACGCTTGTCATAAACACAATCCGCTGCCACTATCTGCAAAGGAATGACACCATAACCCAAGGTGAAAGACAATATTTTTACATGAAGCAATTTTTCTATTACTTTTTCCTTCTCGTTTTTTTTCAGAAATCCATTATAAAACAGCGAAACGCAGCTTAATGTTCAGATCAGCAACCTTGCAACACAGAATTTCTGTCAAACCTTAATAAACACTACCTTACAGGCATTATACGAAAAAAACTTTAAGCGGTTTTGATGTGCTGAGACAGTCCCGAGACAGTTTACATATAAAACAAGTTTTACAATAAGCTTTACCATAGAGAAATAACTCGGGTAAACATAATAATATTGTCAATCTCATGGTGCTGTTGCTTTGGCTATAGATATATCTACTGACAAGTCAAGTGTGAGAGAAAGCTGGTTGTTTATTTAGTACATTAAGCACTGTCATAGTCCATGCGTCTTGGATGTCAAATTTGTATATCTAATAATATTGTATCTAATATTTATCTCTGCAGATTTTAGACAGACATTAAGCAATAGTGGTTTTAATTCACTTGGCACTAGAACTTTCCAAAAATTGCTTCTATGACAGATATTACCAGAACCATGATTCATTTTTAAAGGGGTCATATGATGTTGCTAAAAAGAACATTATTTGGTGTAATGAAATGTGTTTATGCGGTTTAAGGTTAAAAAAACACATGATTTTCCACATACTGTACATTATTGTTTCTCCTCTATGCATCGCCTTTC